GTTGATTGCTGAACATTATTTTTCATCCGGTCTGCGTAAAAGCTTTCTAGTACAAATCCCAAGTTACTTTGAATATTCGCTCAAGTGTGAATTGCACCAAAAATAAAACAGCTGAAGAAAAAGGACCATGTTGATGATTAGATTGATCGCCAACTCATGTTTTCGTACAAGTTTTTAGGCGCAAGAACTAATCCAAAACATCAATTATCATCTGAAACAAAACATTCGAAGAACTTTACTAATGACCCATTTTTATCAAAAGCATAACTTCACTTTAAATAGACCCCTTCAATTGTGTTTAAGGATATGATTAGTTACAAGGTTGCAGGCAATTTTGGTAAACATCTTGGGCCTGCCCAACACCTTATTTATCTCACGTTTATACGGAGAAGAAAAGGAGCACAAAAGACGATTTGAATAACCAAATATGTTGTGCTAATCTCAACAAATCCCAAGTTTTTTAGGAAAATCCAGCCCTAAAACAATACTTTTAACCTTCTGTGTAATGCATCTTAAGACATTTCTTGTAGTGGGGACAGATTACACTGAGATTACTAAATACCCTTGGTTTGGAAAAGGGCTGTTGCCCTCATGCGGAAACCGTTTTTGTTAGACATCCATAGAATACTCGAATTGCTCTATCAGCCTAATCTGGTAATCATTTTAAAACATTTTATATTTCAGTGTATTGTGTAACCACAAACAGGACACCCAGCATTATTGCTGGGTGTTGTTTATTCTGGGACAAATACTGAATACAAGAAAGTACCTTCGCTTGCCCCAGATGGGCGTCACAATGATTGATACTGGCGGTTTGTCCAACCACAATCAGAGGACTATTGAATGTCACACCCTCACTGAGTTTCGTGCACCATCACGTCAGAACCATAAAGCAACTGGACTTTCGTAAGCAAAATTCTTAACCAGTGACATGACAACCTGTTACACCGGACTCTGGCTACTTCCGCAAGCTTCTTGCTAACTTCATTGTTGCCAAAAACAAACCTACGCGTTGCAGGGTATTACTAAGAGGGGGATGTTGTCTGTTGCCTAGTTACGGACAGCTAGCAGTAAGTATAAACGGTGTGACTTATTGGACGAATTCGGCATACCAGATGGCATGTTTGCTACTACAGATCTGTGCAATTTAGTGCTGTCAAATCCCCCGACCTAGTGTTATCATACTTGGCTACCTTTACGATTGCTTTGAACTCATTTAGCTCATCCAAAATGTCCATTTTACTGCTGATAGAGATACCTTGTTCTCCTTCCCTACCCGGGGAAAACGTTGGAATTAAACGGAAGATGGGTAAGATCAGATAACCCATTATAGATTTCGCTTCGGCAATCACTGATCTAACTTGCCACCACGTTGATGCGGTACACTTCGTGAAGTATCAGCTGGAAATGTAGTGTGCCATAAGTGAACCATAAGTCCTTCGTTGAAACCAAGTTAGTGTGCAAAGGAGTCTAGTTCGTAAATTGCGTACGATGTGGAATAAAGCATCAGGTTGACGCAAACTCGCTGGCCACGCTTGCATGAGGAGAACCTACAGGGGCAAAACCGGTCGTTGGCTGTCGATAAGATTTCAACACCCTTGTGAAAAGTGCTATATCAAGAAAATGTAATGTGCTATATCAAAAATGATACACGAGTCGGCATTTCGTAGCAAATTTACTTGAATAACATCATAAGTGAGAGAATCAGCGAGAATCGACGAGGTTTCCCATTTACTACTAATTGATGGGCAAATGGGTGTCAATCAACCATTTTTCGGACTTCTTTGAACCAAAGTTCTGTGTCACTGGCATTAAAAGTCTCAAGAATAAACAAACCTTTCATCTACATTTGAGTGTAATATTAGGGCTAACATGTTCCCTCCCAACGTGTATAAGACTATATCTTTTGAAGTCAAGGGAAAATTTTTCTCCTGATCACTTTTCACCAGAAAAGAGTAACGCTATTTCCAATAGATAATAATTGATATTTATTCGGAGCATGGTAAACTGCTTGAGTACAGTTGAGCTGAATCGCACCAGCTGCATGTAAATAAAATTTTTTGTGCTTTGTTTTTTTGGAGCTGTTCGTCATTTGAGCAACCGGTCGTGCCTTACAAAAGACGCATATCCTCTTCTGTGCTCGACATCAGCGCTACATGCACAGGAAATGCGAACTGGTTGCGATGAATATCCAGTCAGCTTAATCAGAGGACGTCAACTGCGCAAACAAAGTAATTGAGTAGGTTTTTCTTGTAAACACCGGTACTCCATAAGCCACCATATGTCCCTCAAAGCATTCAAAAAACTGAACATTGATGAGTCGGGCATTCCCTGTTAATGGGCTAGAAACATGAATACCTGTGCAAAGTCGTTTGCATTCGCTAGTCGAATGAGAGCTTACTCTTTACCGCTGCTAGGAATTCTACATTCCTCTCGCATCCCGTTGATTTCTGCGCCGACCGGCCTGACACCGACTGCATGTAATCTGACATCCGGATATGACACTATCAACTAACCCTAGAAGACGCCGGAAATTCAAGTAGTCTTATTAGGGTTATATATATATATATATATATATATATGTTTTATGGCACTTTAGACAGTGAAATAAAGCCCAAAGCCATACTGGAGACGCTGCTAAACGTAGAACTGATCGCACAATCTTTCGTGAATAGTCAATTAGCATTTTATGTGATATGTAAATACGGCGAGAGGGTACGCCGTATGGGCAGTGCTAGTCAGTTCAGGTTTTGCTTACAAACTCAACTATAGTGACCTGCTTACAATGCTGAATACTTCAAACATTTTAGTCAGTGTTTGGATTTTCAAAATACCAGCTACTTCAGATACTTGCCTTCTCACCCAAGTAGGATGTTTTAACGCCGGAATATAGCGACGACCAGTGTCTCCATATTTTTATTTTATTTTTCTCAGTATTTTCTCGTCCTTTTCCTTCAATATCGTAGTTTGTTACTGATTATTTGATTGATGGTAGCCGACAGAAAAGCTCTTGCTTGTTAACTGGGATTTTGTTGTGTTATTTAAGGACTTTGATTTAGACATCAAAAATCTTTTGTGGCGATTACACGCATCACCAGTCAGGCCCTTTTTGTCTTCCTAACACAGCAGCAACAGACTGAACTAAACGCTAAATCTACTTGATTCTCCCGAATAGCTTGTGTCCGGCAAGAGTTTATCGATCCCTATAACTACTGTCCGCTAAAAGTCCAATAAAACAATACCATTTTAGACGAAACAATAAAAATATTTCTAAAGAAATTGAAAATAAACAAACTATAAATCCAAAACCTGTTAGGAACTGGGACGCCAAATACTGAAGATTTTCTTTTACTCTAGTGTCTAAAACAATGCATATTTTGCATGTTTTTTTACACAAACGCACCGGAATTTTGTAGCACCACAATTAGCACTGAACCAAACCACCTGTGTAACACCCTGACATAACTGCTAACGGACTATCATTCATATAAAACCAATTAAACATGGAATATATCGTGACCACGCGAATCTGCACACCGAGGAGCTCACCCAACAGCTATTTTCTTTACTAACTTCAGTTTAAACGCCTGAATCTTTGCCTATCATCTAGTGACTGGGGTATAAGGTGGTAATTTATTGTTCTATGTTAACCTATTTTAATGTTGCATTTCCGAACCCAAAAGTTTACAAACACTATAGGTCTGCTTGTGGAGCAATCGAGAGAATATTTTGTCACCCTTTCTTGCTACATTCTTCCATTCATTAGCGTGCTTCTCTTTTAATTGACCGATATATAATCACTGTAGTAACTGCACTATGTATCCTGAAATCGGTGTTGAACCACGTACCTACGTTCTGCGTTCTAGAGATTTTTATTGAAGTATTTAATTATTCTTTGGTGTTGTGCCATTACCTTATCTTATTGACAGCACAAGTCTTTGTGGAACAGGAAAGAACTGACTTGTGACTGAGGCCAAACACGCAGAATAAAACACAACAGCTTCAAAAATCATGCACCACCTACAATTACTGTAGATGATCATCTGGCGAATTAAGCAATCAACATTCATCGTGTGAAGCAAGTTGTTTATTATTTTGATGCAGACAATCTTGATCCACGCGAAAGATAACCAAAGGCCTGAAATGCATCATACTGTAATTTATCTAGAGGTCTGATTTGTCTCCAAGATCTCGAGGGTTTCACTACTTCAAAAAATCAACACACATTGACCCCAGAGGTGACGAGAACCATCTCTTAGCGTGACGCCACTCGTGCAAGGTTTGGGTGAGGACTGAGGCTACTTCAACCAACCATCTCATTGGACAATCAGCCAAGTATAGATGCATGTCTTCAGCACAAGTATCGAGGCGGATAACTATTTAAAGAATAGATGGCAGTAGACTGTAATACAGTGCACTATGCGATTCTTACCTCTATTGTGTCTAATCATATCGGTGTGTGTTGCTCAGAAGCGACGTGAGTTATGTATTTTTGTCTAGGTATATTAAAAAGAGACAAAAGGATTCTTCACTATGAATACAAGGATTCATTTTCTGTTTATGGACTAAGGCAGTAAAGGCTCCACTCACAAACGTATAGCTCTTTCTGCATGGCATCTATCGTTAGAAAAGTAATGCATTGAGTGAGTTAGTTCTATCGAATTTTTCCACATTTCTTCGGTTCGTCCTGCCAAACTAGTATAAAAAGAGACTAGGTAGCAGAACCTGGCAAACTTGATACACTGCGCCTCTCTCTGTCTGTTGTTGTTTCCAGTTTTCATTGACATTTTACATTTCCCTGCAGATTTACACATACTGCAACGTCAGCAAAACTTAAGGGATTCCTCAGAAGAGGCGAAATGTAACACAGTGAGTCTTCCCAGTTGTATCAATCGTACACTTATGCACAGGTCTTCGGCTGTTTCCAAAACTTTTCCTAACTAGAGTTTGCCTCCTGAAGCAGAATATTTGACGTCACTTATTCTGATTTACTTTTACAGCTGGTAACAATGGCCCCAAACTTTTGGTCCTCAGATCGATTCTCTCAGTGTGTCGCCTTGGTTAGACAAAACGGAGTGCAGCAGTTTGCCATTCAACTCGACCTGGACAAACTTCCGGCGGAACACAAGACACACGATGCGTTTGTCATTGAATGGCTGGCATCAAGAATGCTTAACAATTATACGGGGAACTGTCAGACAACTGTAGGTATGCTTGCTTACTGTTTTGTCGGTTTCATTCTTTCAACGAATTTCAAGAACCCTCAGCAAGTCTCAAATGAAACTGATATGTTACTGTCCAGTTTTTTTAAGCTGGACTGTCCCATGCTTTTTTAAAGTTATCAGCTTTGGTAATCATAACAACAAAATTTGGGCCAGAATCATAAATCCCATGTACAAAATGCGAACAGAAAAGGAGTTTGGTTTCAGCCAACCTGGGTTTGTGCCGACCCATCTATGTAGGTCGCATTGTGGTCATATGTACGGAATTTTGTTGTCAGTTCATGAGTGACATACTTTACAACTTGGAAGGGAAGTAATTACTTAGTCTGTTATAATGTACTGATTTATTCGGCATCCGGTAGATTGGACATTGTAAGTACATGAAATCGCCCCACATGGTCAATTTATCCTATTTTTTCAACAGTTGTGACAAGATGTATCATGTGTCATTTAACATAATGTAACCAAATTCTTTCGGGTAACGATTATGTCCTATTCGCATGAAACTTCAACAACATACTTCATTTGTAGAGAGCAAAAGACAGACCTTTGACGCAAGTAGAACGGGTGAGTCACAATTTCTTGTCTATTTACCTATCCAGCTAATCAAATGTGGGTAAACCCTTCCTTTGATTCTTAGAACTGGTAGCCTCGGCTCTTACGGAACGCAAACTTAATCCCGCATCATTCTGTCCTTATTATTCGGTCGATGAAAGCCAAATTACGGGCGTACTGTTTTTAGTTGCAGGGCTTTTTGGTTGCAAACGTGGAACACGGTTGTTTGACTGGCACATTTGTCATTTTTCTTGAGACCAATTACGAAGTTCATCGGAGAAATTATTTCTTAACAATCCAAACGATGTCTTTTCACGTAGCAATTATCCTTGTGGGCCCGGAAAACGACGGACTCTGTGACAGCGTAAGTTTCACACTGATTCGAATCGATCGGTTGATACTGTTTAGTTAGCAACTCTGATAACCATAAACCGCTGAAATTTGGGACAATATGAACAGCAACTCAAATCCGTTTTTGAAATGGGCGGGTTCACACAGAGTATACCAGCCGGAACAAGCGTACTTTCGTAAATCCTGGGAAGGACTGGCGATGTAAGGAATTTCTAGTTTGACTAACCAATGCTGTTATGTCTGGATGTAAAGAGCGCAAAAGTCTTGTTCGATACAAAACACGATTGTGGATTGCGGGACTAATAGAAGCCTTGCTCCTTAAACACGAACATATTGGCTGATTCCATCCACAAGGCATAGCCTAATGTTTTCAGACGGGGAAAGTAGTCCTGATGTTTCCATTCCGAGGGCTAAACTTGGTCCATTTTCCGCAATAGTGCATAATATTGAGGAGCCCTGAGATACCTGATCTTGGAAGATCATTTTGGAGATGTTATCCAAAGATGGCATGACACAAGGTAGATAAATGAAGTTCGGGCTTGTTAATGTCCCAATTCAGAAAAAAACTTTTATAACGTTCAGTTGAAATCCTTTCGCTGGGCAAATAATCTGGTAAATCGTGAACAGTTGGAGCGAAATTGATCTAGGTTTCGTTAAAGAAGCCAGTATATATCCCAGTACATAGTTTGTATCAGATTGATTACATCTTAAGTGTGTAATTTGAATGGATACACGTTCATCATTTCAGTTAATTGGTAAGGACGTTGGTATGGGAGAAGTCATTCGGTGCAAACCGCGTGATAATGCCAACTCGATTCAAGTGCAGGATGTGATACTCACCTCTTATCTAATCAATGTGGACATATACGTTGACAAGTGGATTGCTTTTGAGTTTGCCGAACAAATGAATTCGGGGCTGGACCACTGTCGCTACAATGCATATCCACTGAAGCCGGAGTAGCATTACTCGGTGGACGTTTCATTAGTTACAAAGTGAGTTGAATGGACTACGTATGGTATATTATCGCCACTTGTTCCCTTGTAAAACTCACGACGTGGGTGATCTCCCAAACTTTTTTCCAAGAAGGAGTTAATTTCTTACTGTTCAAAATGCCAACGTTGTCGGAAGAATCTGTAATACGTGTCAAGAACAGTTGGTGAAATAAAGTTTTTCATTACCTTATTCAAAATATGGAGGAGACTACTCAGTAAGAATGAGAAGCATTTTACAGTTTAAACGTTGGAAAATAGACGAAACTAGATTTTGGGTGTTTTTTGATTCATCCACTTCATGGAAGTTGTTAGTACAGTTTCAAACCTCTTTCGGATACGATTTCACGTTCATCCAGAACCCAACTCAGTTTAGTCTGTGCGCACTGAGATACACACATGGTCCAGATAAGCAAATATGCACAGCGGTGCTCCTATTCATAACTAGTCACCTATCACACATTATTTTAAAGTGAACACTAAATTCACGCTTTGGTACCCAAAGTTTATAAATTTGCTTTGAATAGGTTGACAAAATTCATACTGGACATGAGGTTGGACTATTGTAAATGTGTTTAGGAGAAACTGGCTGAAAATACACTACAGGATGACCACACATGTAATGCTTTGACGTCACAGCCGCAATTTTGCCTAGATGAGTTACAATTTATTACAAGCAACGGATATGTCAGAACAGTGCGATGAACAGTTGACTTACATGGGGGTACGATTAAAATCGGAAAACTGGTATATTTATCTTCCAATGAAAGCCATCAAGGCATGTTAGAAATCTATTTTCACTTTTGCATTGACCATTTTTCGTAACAGGCCAAGTAGTACACAATAGGACTTCAATAACTACAATGAACTTTTTAAATCACATATGGGTAAAATGTAACCTTGCAAATTTTCTGTTTCGTTTTAGGTGGTCTCCATTGTTGTTTTCTGTTGACGTGGTTATTAATATAAACAAGTGTGAACAATACTACTTGGTTATTACAAAAGATGGGGGAACAGCTTGCGTCTCCTTCAGTATATCGGGAACTTGGAATTTTACGTATCTTACTGTGTCCCTAAAGTAAGAATAAAGAAAAAAATAGTAAGTAGGATCATGCGGCTGGTCACATGACGAGCCGTATAATATGAAATATCAAAGTATATTATAAAGAATCAAGTAGGGCCACCTCGATCAATAGAGTTGCTATCCACTGATTTTTAAGGGTAAGATAAAAGGATGAAAATTATATTCTCCCGTCTTTTAAAGTAGAATTAATTTGAAAGCGATGCTACTCCTCAAGAAAGCGCCTTTATTAGAAGTGTACTCCAATACAAAGGGTGAATTCGCTGGGCGGTCCTTATTTTTATAGGAGGTGTTATCTAGAAGAGGACAGCCTGGTCACACATCATCCTTCGTTCATATCCAGCTGTCCTTCTAGGCAGAGATATATCAATGCACATTCACTCAAAAACAGCTGTTGCCATTAATATCATTGGATTGGTGAAGGAAGACGCGCCAAGGCGAGGCATCCTCTGTGCATCCCAATTAACAGGATATATCCTGGCTATGAAAATGACATTGTAGGATACCTGCATGTTGGCAGATGTGTACAAACGTTATTCTTCTCGGTCAAGTTCTGTAATTTACGTACATTTTTCACGAAAAATCTAAACGAAACTATGTTTGACGGATTTTCGCCCGAAATCGTTCCACGGCACCGTCCGTTTAAGAACTTAACGATCCTGCAGAGTATAACTGTTTGCAAAGCAATTAGTTTTCATCACAGACTCAATTAAATCTTATTTGAACAACTTTATTTATGATAGTCTTTGACTGAATGCGCTGATCAAAGTCTGCCTCATGTTTAGGTTGGTACGATATCTGAGATAACACAGTGTACTTCTTAGAGGAGCACCGCTCATAAGGTTGCTGTAAATCCTTAGACAGCTCATCAACGTTTTCGCCCTTCTACTATATGTGGCTCATCAGGCAGGCGCAGTACGCAAGTTAACATCAACCTTTTTTTTGCTGAAATCCAGAGTATATGCTATTCTCGAAATACACAAAGAGGCACACCAACTTGCTTTTTGCAGATTGACGGTGGAACGCAAGTACATTATGAGCTTCGGAAGGTCTCGGTATTTCTCAACGACGAGGCAGGTTGTATAGAATTCCACATAAATTTTTACGGTCTGACGTGAGCGATAAGCAAGTAGCGGCCTGGTGTAAGAATCAAAACCAAACAGGCAATTATGCCTATTGCAAATGTTCAGAATATCCGGTTTTATTGTTCTCTAATACAACATGTATCGCCAATCCCTTCCACAAAGCAACTAGGATCGGGCATGGCTGAGTTTTGATCAGCGCCTTCTTACACATTCTGGGGAGATACGCTTACAAGCGGTCTTCAAATTTTCAGTTGGTAACGGATTAAGTTTTATAGGAATTGCAAAAGAAGGACGGCTTAACTCATGCGATACGGAACAACAGTATTTTCGGAGAGGGCGAGATTTCTGGTCTCGGAGTTTTTTTACGTCTGTAGAATCCACCAGATAAATACACGCATCTTACTTTCAAGTAAAATTCGCTTAAAGAGGAGTTTTCATACAGAAGAGTCATCGCTTATAATTTAAGTCTTTTACTAGTGAGCGCCATTTACAGAGCACAGGCCAAAAGAGAGGACAGTAGACCATAACCAAACAGATTTTACCGCAGAATGTCCAAATTAAGAAACCTTTACAAACATGATTAGCGTAGTCAGGGTAGATCACATCAGATTTGTGTTCAAACAAACGGGAAGATGTCATCGCCATCATCATCAACGGCAGCATATCAGTGTTCAAAACTGATGCTTCGCTGCCTTACACTCATAATTTATTTGAGAGTATTACTGCGATGAAGAAATAAAAGACGGACGAGGAAGAAGCTTAGTGCTAGACTACCACAATCACCCCCAGTTGCTTACACCCCCAGACACTCATTCAGACACTCTGGACTGAGAGGGACGTCACTGACATCAAGTAGCAACCGTGCAGTGGAGCTGATCTCCGGTGGTTTTTCCAATCACTACCGGCCCCTTTTTGAAGATGGGCACTACCATCGATACTCCTCGACCGTCTGAGACCGCCTCCTTTTCCAACAAGAGAGCAAGTAGATCAAACAGGCGCAGCCTTAGGACTTCATCCACTTTCTTGGGCGATATAGGTGGAAGGTTATCCTACCCAGGAGATCGGTGGCGCTTGAGAGATCATACGCGGTCGTAAACCTCCGGGGCCGCAGGGGGCTATAGGCTAACAGCTCAGAATTCTGGATCAGTTCCATAATCCAACCGAGTGACAGAATATGACCACGAGAACGATTGTTCGATTTACTTGCCCCACCAGTCAAGATGCTCTTCTTTGATAAGATGGTTGCGCCAATTAGATCATTATTGGTTTTCGGAGACCGGTAGCATATATCAACTGATATAATCTTCGTATTTTCGCCTCTTTCTGCGCCTGTCCCCAGTCTATTCGGATTTACGGCAACCATAATGCCATCTCAGCATCATGTAGCAGTGACAGGGCACTCAAGGCATTATAAAAGCTAACTATGGTAGTGCCCAAGCTATGGTCGATAGGGATGCAAGCGGACACGACAAACCACTCACAGGTGACGGTCAACGGGAATCCGGTCAGGTAAGAATCATTCCATCCGGTTACTTAGGACAATACTGGCCCCTGCACATCCGGCTGGCAGCTTGAATCATTGCTTCTGATACGCAACATACACTAGTGTGCGCGAATCCATTGCGAGAGCCAGAATAATTTGTTTTCCTGATTGTTTCTGAGTGGAATTATTAGAAACAGGCAAGTAGATGGGGCGTTGAATCCTTGAAATGTTTTTCGAAATACCTGAGACACTGGCTATCGGTCGACGTGTGAATGCCTTGTTGAAAACCGGTGCAAGTCGGATGGGTTCATAACAAATTGCGCCAACATATTTCGAGTGTCGTTTCCAACCAATCAACCAAATGGATAGCTTTGGCGTGCTTTATTCTTCCCACGAAAGCCCTGATAGCCAATCAGCTGGTATTTAACACTGATTAGCAGATAAAAGGTAGAACATTAAACAAGGGCAGTTCTCTAGTACAATGTGACGATGACATTAGTGCAAAACGCTCTAAAGTGTGATCCTCTGTATGCTTGTATAATTCCGCCAGTGCTAATTTTATGTGGCAGTTTTGGGTGTGAAAAATTAATCCGTAGATATAATGCTGACTTTGGGTGTTTGTCTGTTCGCCGAGCTTGGCAGTTGGATTGCAAACGTTTCATCACCAATCGAGGTGACATCGTCAGTGCACTGACGATTGGTGATGAAACGTTTGCAATCCAACCGTCAAGCTCAGGGAACAGACCAACAACCAAACAACGCACCCGAGCTACCTAAATTCCACAACATTGCTAATAATGCCGACTCTCACTATCCTAACACTATCAGTGAAGAAGTAATAAGTGTCATATTCGTAGCCAGTGTGTTCACAGACAGATAGCCTCAAATTAACAGGGCCAGACATTAAAAAAATGACCGAGCAACTAAGTAGTCAGCATCGAGTATATTGGTGGGTGACAGGGTGACAGGACGGTGTGTTCTTTAGGAGACCAGTGTCTACACATTTATGAGGCTGCCTTAGGACTGACGGGTTGAAGGTCGTCTACAACCAGTTACGCATTATCTAGATGCCCGAAATAACCGTTAAAATGAAGGTCCTTTGCGGCTATTCTGTTAGGCCTGGCCAGATTCCAATAGGCAAGTAGGTCAGATCCTCGAACTCAATCTTCTTCAGGGGAGCAAAAACAGCCGCTTGATAATGGTCAAGATGTTGAGCTGAAAGATCGAGGGATACCAGAGGTTTTGATATAATGCCAGTCAGCAACCACAAACAAGGAGGACCGTAAACATTACATATCCCATCAAACCCTAAAAGGTGGACTGCCTATGCTTTCAGGGTTCCAGAAATGTACGTTACTAGCCTGAACACTGTCAACAAAACTAATTTTTTTCGAAAACTGTAAATCACAGAGAGATGCAAGCGCATTCTGCTAAGCTGAATCTCCGCGCGATAACTGATCACTACATAGGGTCAGAATTGCGGCAGTCGGACTGGATTGATTCAGGAGTACATTTTCTAGCTTTCTCTGTTCCGCTTTCATTTACACCGTATTCTACAGACATTAGTCAAATCTCAGGAAATACAGGCAAGTTACTTCAGTTTCGGAGTTAGTAGTGGGGGAAAATTGTTGTTGATGTCTGAATCACAAGGACTCCAAGCTATCAACACTAACACCCAATATCTACTAGTGTTGTGCGCTGCAATGAAACTTGGCATCATCAATAAGTGGTTGGTGATGGTAATTGTGGCAAATAAGATGGACCAAAATAATAGATGTGCACGTCTGTCGAGCCATACGATACCGACGGCAGCAAATGCCCGCAGCCCAGTGAAACTCGGACCACACATTTATACGTTTCGTTTTGTTTTTAGACAGACCAATTTCGATCGAGATTAGATGTCGAGCAACTGTGAGAGACGCGACCCTCGAATGCGCCATCGGGTGTGTCAAATGCAGTCTGCTGTATTGCCAGAAGCTGTGAGAGACGCCACCCTCGAATGCGCCATCATATGTGTCAAATGCAGTCTGCTGTATTAAACAGGTGGGAAGACAGACCTATTCTGACACAGTAGAAATGCACCTGTCACCAGTGGAACCAGAATTTAGATTTCGGATGCTATTACTATGTGGCCTATGCGTGTACGCTGAAGTGCAGGAGAGTTCCAACATGAGACCATTTATGGACAGACAGATTACTAAACACAACTCAGAACGCAGGTAATAACCCCGAAACAGAAACCAGTGAAACCTAGTTCATTTCCGGTACATGGTCTTCTGGACCTGTGATACTGGAAGACCGGCAGTCTGAATGACCAAACCTCTTCCTACTGACTAAAACTGAGTAGCCAAACGCGTAGCACCAAACAGCATGGACTTAGTTATGGTTTTTTGGGGCAAGCAAAACTTCACTCATTTGAAGATCGCTCTGTTACCAAGGTTTGTGTGTTAACAAAAGTTTCTTTTTGGTGATCTCTTCCCCTGACGAGCATTTACTAAGCATGTGAAGTTAGGAGAGTTACGCGCCTGCAGCAGGCAAAAGGTTCCGGTAATGAATGTGTTAATCTAGCATCTCTGATTTAGGGTATGCAAATCTGGATTGTTTTTCACCTACATTCCGTGTATCCAAAAATGAACCTATGACAAGCCATTTTTGAATTAGTTTAAATATTTCTAGCCACCGCTTGCACTAGATGCCTCTTAGAATTATTTTAAATAAAATTGAGCATTTTAGAAGTGGAACCTACGTTTCATGTCAGGACAGGGTATCAGATTTGCATCCGTCTGTATAATTTATTCAACACAATCAAATGATTCCACTTGATGTTCAACAGTAGTAATCCGGTGTATTATATTAACTTTCATCTTTATCAGTGGGGTTTGTCTATGGAAATTAATGGATCGATTTTCGTTCATTGATTACCATCAAAATCCTGCTGATGTGTCTCATTACCAGAAGAAGAGCTTTAGAAAAATCATTTTTCGTGTTATTTTTTTCTTCGGCTGCGATCGTACACAATACGATAAACTCACTTATGAGTTAGTGCGGGTAGTTAAAACCCAACGAACTAGGTTTGGATGTGGCTGTTGGAATCGTGATGTACTACCTCTCAAGGAAGTGCTGATTGATAGGGAAAGCTTTAGAGTGAGCCATAGGCTTGCAGAACTTCCCAAACCCTGGTTGCAAGTAGCTATTCATACAAGGTATGTGAGTATTCTAATTGGAGATATGTTGACCATGAATGCAGCTTTTGATATAGGAAAATCTATAACTAAGACTAGGCCTCACATTAATTGCCGATTTACTGGTAAAGTGTATTTTGTCGGGATTCAACACATTACAAACTTTGCATGTTTTGGTGGTCATGAGGCACCGGAACTTGGCATCATATCACTTTGATGTTCCAAACAAACTAGTGTTTACCTCTGGCGCTTTTCAATTAAAACATAAAACATACAATGTTCGACGGTCATACGATGGAAGTCACCTGCGTAACTAGGGCTTTATTGGTAATTGAATGGTTATAATGCTATGCTTCCTAAAACGTCTTTCCACTCACAACGTGTGACACCCAAAAAAGTCAATTAGACTTTTGACACCAAATTGTGTGAAGGAAATGTAAACAATAAATATGCCGCTGGTACCTGAAATCCGTTTATTTGCATTGCTCACTGCTAACTCATCGCCGTGGTGTCGTTCAAAAGATCAAACAGCCTGAGAATTAGCAAAACCTTCCACATTTGTACACACGGTGGAAAGTTTACAAATGATTACGTTTTTCAATATGACTCAATGTGCGCTGAATAGCATTTTCCATTTCGGCCATTTTTCTCAATTCTATGAAGTCCAAAGGGGCTCTAAGACATCACTGTGTCGGCTTTGTACAGTCGTAATGTGAATTTAGGGAAGGGCACACTGCGCTTGAGCTGCATCACACTTTCTTCATTTAATGTGACAATATTGAGAAAATAATTCAAGACCAGTTACCGGTTTCCTATAGGAGTAGTATTCAAGTATTCACCAAACGTGTAATTTGGTGGACCCTATTCTTACGTGTGCTCTGTTTGTTACCCGTTGCCGGAGATATGGAAAGCTCCGAAAGCACCACTTAATTCAACTGAGTGAGTATCTGAAGTTTGCCAAGAGTGCTATACTAGAACATTTTTAAAATAGGACACCGCATCTTGTAAGTAGCAGTTTAGAAATGATGAATAATTTCCAGCCATGCACCACCAATCAGTTGCTTATTAAGTGAGGTAGATCAACGGTAGCGCAACTTCGAAGTGTATGACCCACTTTTAACCAAAACTTTCTGATTGGAAAGCCACTGTTTATTCAGGCTGGATTCTGATGAACCTCGTAACTAGCGTTTTGTGTGGTAAACAAATATAACTAGTCAGCGGCTTTAGTGCTTTCGTTTATCTACTCGAAAGCTAGGAAGAAAACAAGCAAATATAAAGGAGGATTTATTACAGTCTGACTTTGATAAAATAGTGGGTACCTTGTGTGTAACATCAAGCTGCTTCCGGAGATGATATTTAATTGGCAAACCCTCTATCACAGGTCATTTTCATAGAGAACATCTTTGCTTTACGTGATCACAACTGTCTACACATTTCAATTTTTAACAGTTACGATCAACCCTATGATTATATCACACGCACAGTTTTTCGCACAAAAATGACAGACAGGAGATAGTTTTTCGTGCATATCTGACGGGAGAAACAGAAAATTAGTTTTTGGCCTGTTATAAAAGAAAGATACAATCCGTGAGAGGGTTTTTGTCCCCCTTGTCATCTTGCTCAAAAGACATTTTATTGATTAACCTCAAGAGAGGCCTCATGCTTCTGAAGGTTCACATGTCAGCTACGCCTGATTGCGTTTCTAACAGATGGTTGACAAGCTATAAAAGAAAATGTGAATATCTAGAGTGTCTTGAATTTAGGTGCATAACCGGTGATGTCCGTCAGATGAACAGTAGAGCATAAGCAAATTTCTAGGTGAGGTCCCAAAATGAGAACAATAATTTCAACGTGCCTCAATTAAGGTGTTTGAATTATGACTGTAAGCCAGAACAGGTTGATGCCGCAATTATTGTTTGGTGAAGTTGAGGGAATTAGCATGTGTACCGGGTTTGACAGAAAACCAAGCTATCTCAGTTTAACTAAATGCAGCACCTGTACTCAATACTACAACGGTCTGCGCGCAATCATGCTCCAGAGGTAAAAGAAAAACCAATAAATACACACACATTCACGTGAAACTAAGCCACGAGTGAGGGCCTTGAATTTGGACGGTTTACACTGATGGCTTTACCGCAACAAAAAGCAAAACAGTGTAAATGACTGGAAGTAAGTTTAACCATACCGATCTCGGAAAAATCAAAGTTCAGGTGTATAAGCCTGACGGCAAAGCGCGTGACCTATATGGCTGAGTAGGCACAGCATCCATTTGATGAGTGGAATTTCAGTGGTTTGAGTTTTTCCTTAGCAGGCTCCCACCCCATTGGCTACATGGGCCCGGACTTCTCATTTTAACTACCTTTTCGGAAACAAGACAAACTTAACTCATCGCACAAGTGAATCCGCTAATATACTTCTCAATTCATTCGCTGGCGTCTCGGTTCAACTTTGTTTCTCTCCCAGTATTTCTCAAGAATTCAGTATGACGTAACTCATAACTTCATAAGAAGATTCAGTATTCTACCGTTTATAAAAAGTAGTCTTCTTTTATGCTGATTTCAACGAAGCGAAATTTTCTGCACATTTTTCTTCCGGTACTTCAATAGGGTAGATGTTATCCTGCTGGTTTCTATTCTTGATAAGATTTGATCTATGAAAAGTAAAGGCGGCTACACAAAAGACAACTTCGATCTGTAAAGTCATGTGCGATTGCTTCTTTTTGCTGAATTTAAACAGCAAATATTCCTATAAACGTAGAAAAGTGGTATTCGGAATACAAACCAAAGAACAGGATGTGAACTATCTTGGAAACTTTTGACGAAAAACAAGGTGAACTTTTTTGGCGGGAACGACGTTCACAATTTTGCAGAAACTACCCAACGGCCTTTGGGTATTATGTTTTGTCGCGAAAGTGTACATCGTTGTCCAGATTATCATATCAATCAAAACAGAAACTGGCTTTTGTAAGGCAACTTCGGTAAAATTCCTTCATAAACAAGAGAATAAAATGAGACTTATTTGTTTTCCTTGTTGATACCAACCCAAATTTACAAGGACTGCATGTAATAAACTTCGTCCTTATAGAATTTAATTTCCGTTCTGGGGAAATGGGAGAATAAAATACTATGACTTAGTCGTTAATTAGAGGTAGTGAAGTGCAGTTTTGATGGGTGGATATTTATGCCCCGGTGATACGTATAATACACATATGTATTATGCATGTATATATATGGTAATATAATTATTGGACACTTTCTCAACGACAGTGAAAAGCATTCAGAAACCTCTTCCCCGGTAAATCCTCCCACATAAATAGAGGAACTTTGGTGCTGACTGAACCCAGAAAGACCTACAGAGGACAAACATAAACGACAGACTTTTGTCCAACGTGATTTTAGAAACATTGAATGAAAAGCCCCAAAAATACCTTTTACAACAACAAAGCGCTGAAGGAAAGCCCTCCGTTTCGTCAGCAGTATTGGTGCATGCAACCTCAGATACGAAATCCAGGACATACAGAAGCAACAGCGTTATCTGATGAACGTGTTGCATTCCAACATATATCCTGTCCAAACTACATTTCACATATCCAAAATGTATTCGTTATCTTGACCAGGCAACGTATCGCTTGATATAAGGGTGACGTTTGGATACCAGAAAAGCTGTTTGCTCTTTCAAACTATTTTCAAGCCCTGTAGTTACTTATATCACCATTGCCAAAAAATGGAAAGCCATTATTTGCACAGGAGTAACAAAATACAAACGTTCTATCTCGTGCATTGGGAGTGTCACATAGATGGGCCGTGTTAACATTTTTTGGAGAGAGAAAACAATGGGCAGCAAAATTGTCTCCTAATTAACACACGTACCACTTCAGTGCAGGTGCACGAATGATGGAGCTGATTGAGCTACGGGATTAATTAGTGTTCAGAATCAGGTTGGTCTATTCATTTGTCTCTCTGATTTCACTGAACGCCTTAATGGACGGGGACGTTTTTTTGACCACACTGCCATATTTATTCGCTTGATGAAAGGGGGATCAACAGCAATCTTTTTAGCCGAAAGATTGCAAAAACGTACGTCAAATTCTAGCTATATATATATATATATATGTCGTGATGCTTCTGTCACCATTACCACTCACGAATAGCCGTTAAAAGGTAAATGCAGTTTAATTAATAAAATCTTTGGTTCCCTTTGTGATAAACGGGAACACCCCAACTTACGTTAATCTATCTGAATGCACCTGTTTGAAGAATAACTGTGATTCGTCAAAAATGGATCTAACTTAATATTCTCCTAATAAAAATTGCTAGAATCTGTCCTGTTTTTTTTCCGGCAAACCACTAAGTTCCTTTTAACATAGTGAGGGTTAGCATACTCAAGCAACCGAACGTACTGTATGATATTTAACTTCGTCAATTTTAGTTCATCAGTGTAAGCCATAAAAATCACATACTTGTCGTAGAGTGGTTATAGATGCCAGAGTTTCGTTCATCGACGATTTGGGTTGACGGGTTTGGTAGCTGTGCATTGGAGGCGGGAGCTGATATAGGAATGCGTAAATGTAGGGTTGTCAGTGGATTGTTAAGTGAGGAGATTTGGAAGGGCGCTACGCATTGAAGACAATAGCACGAGTGCCGTTGAGGACGCGACTGGGCTATGTCTATATCTTTAACTAACCATTGACGTGCCCCATCTCGCGGTCCCCTTCCAGGGAAACGGCAATGTCCAACGCAAATGAGTTTGATGGCAACAGCTTCCATACCCCACAGCCAACTCAATGTTTGACCGCGTCTGGCTCATTTCCAACCTTCGCGTGGTCGTGCGAAAAGACCCATTTAAGTAGGTCGGTCGACTACAACGGAGCACGTGGACGAGCCAGCGCAACCTATGCAGTGAGGTCAGTTCATCTACTATAGGTGAGCTGTTTCTTCGGAAACCTGTCTGACGTACTTCAGCATAAATGCAGTTTAATTAATAAAATCTTTGGTTCCCTTTGTGATAAACGGGAACACCCCAACTTACGTTAATCTATCTGAATGCACCTGTTTGAAGAATAACTGTGATTCGTCAAAAATGGATTTAACTTAATATTCTCCTAATAAAAATTGCTAGAATCTGTCCTGTTTTTTTTCCGGCAAACCACTAAGTTCCTTTTAACATAGTGAGGGTTAGCATACTCAAGCAACCGAACGTACTGTATGATATTTAACTTCGTCAATTTTAGTTCATCAGTATAAGCCATAAAAATCACATACTTGTCGTAGAGTGGTTATAGATGCCAGAGTTTCGTTCATCGACGATTTGGGTTGACGGGTTTGGTAGCTGTGCATTGGAGGCGGGAGCTGATATAGGAATGCGTAAATGTAGGGTTGTCAGTGGATTGTTAAGTGAGGAGATTTGGAAGGGCGCTACGCATTGAAGACAATAGCACGAGTGCCGTTGAGGACGCGACTGGGCTATGTCTGACAATATCTTTAACCATTGACGTGCCCCATCTCGTGGTCCCCTTCCAGGGAAACGGCAATGTCCAACGCAAATGAGTTTGATGGCAACAGCTTCCATACCCCACAGCCAACTCAATGTTTGACCGCGTCTGGCTCATTTCCAACCTTCGCGTGGTCGTGCGAAAAGACCCATTTAAGTAGGTCGGTCGACTACAACGGAGCACGTGGACGAGCCAGCGCAACCTATGCAGTGAGGTCAGTTCATCTACTATAGGTGAGCTGTTTCTTCGGAAACCTGTCTGACGTACTTCAGCATTGCTGACGCGCTTTTTCCACCAGAATCAGGCAATGTTCCAAAGACATCATCCGTCAAATCCTGAAAAACCTATGAAGTGCTCGGCACGCAGTGACCAGTTTTCTGTTCCGTATAGTGGTATGGAGCTCACCGCTACATTGTAAAATCGATCCTTGAAGGATGTCATGCCTAAACCAAAGGTGATGCAGGTTCACAAAATTTGCTCTGGCCTTCCCAATCCGAATGGAAACATCATCACCTAGACAGATACAGATGCTTAGGTAGACAAAATTTCTACACCTCAAGCCGCTGATCTGGAAGCATGGAGCTAGGTTTCGAGCTTACCCAGGCTTGCAATAGCAATTTATACTTCGCAGGTGTGAAGCGCATGCATGAGGCAGAATTATTCAGATTGTTTATTATTTTTTTGCATTATTGCGGCATGAGATCCAAGAAGAGCTATGTGGTCTGCATAATCGATATCTGCGAGCGAACGCAACGGAAGCACTTTGACCCCAAAGGCACTAGAGGCTGATAGTGAGTCTTCCATAATCGTATCTGTGAAGGAGCTGAAGAATAAAGCAGAAGGATGAAAACCCTGCCTGACATCATTTGGTCTGCTGAACTTACGCGGAAGCTCCTGTAGACTTCAAAAAGTTCACAGGTTTGGCATACGTAACCTTAATAAGGATCAAGAATTTACGGGGGATATCACTGCTCTATGAGCACTGCCATATTGCCTAACGGTCTACAAATTCAAAGACAGCTTTTAGATCAAGCATCACAATCATTGTTTATTGCTGAAGGCAGTTACCGTTCCAGAATCTGTCGGAGGGTGAAAATGTGATCGAGATATCCTCTCGTAGGACGAAATCCAGCTTGTTTTCATGGATCTGTCCCTCCGTGCGTTGTCAACCTTCAAAGGATAATACCAGGGAGCACTTTCGTTGCCACAGCTAATAGGCTGATGCCACGGTGGTTTTCACACAGCGTCCGCGTACTCTTGCTAAAGATAAGAATAACTGTTGTTATGTCCTACTCCGTGGGTGCTTTCCCTTCGTTCCATATTGCACCAAAATATTTGTTAGATGGTTCACCAGGGATTTTCCGCCTTCTTTGAGGAGAGCTAAATATAGACCTTCCAGCCCTTGTACCTTCTTACCTTTCAGTATGGATATATTGTACTTTATTTATTCCTCGAAAGCGGCATTAAGATTTACACTCTATTCGCTCGTATGTACTAATTCCACAGGCTGTATTGCAGGAGGCCTGCTAAGATGCTCTTCGAAGTGTTTCGCCCATCGTTACAGTCGACTCTACCGCGAATGGATTATTGAGCTTATCCTTCCGCTGACCGTTGCTTTCCTAGGCCCAGTCTAAACGTGTCAGTTGATATAGGGCAGTCCTCCATCTCACAAGCTTTCGAAATCCACCAGAGCTATCGGTCCTTCTTTAGACTCTTTACTATTTGGCGTTTAAGGGACTTGCGTGCATCGTTGTATTCGTTGCCTGCTGGTATGGATTTCCTAGCATCAATCATGGATGGCAATCTCGACGAGATCCAGTAGTCTTGTGGTCAAATCGGAGAGGTCGAGCAAACAGCACTAAAGGCCGCTAACATAGCTCTTTTTACACTTTACAACTGCCACCACAGTATTGATTTACTGTGAAGAGTTGTTGGGCTAGCTCAGATCGATACTGTTGAGCTATTGTAGTTCTTCGAAGATAGTGGATTCACATGTTTCTTGTTGACTTGCGAGGGCGTGAAGTTGACGACCTGTCAGGCGTACATGTACCATGGTGTCATCGGAATAAAGTGTTGCGCCCTCAAAATGAACGACAGTTTTGAACTGTGACTCTCCACTGGTGGCTGATGGCCAAGTGATCTAACGGGGTTAACGGTTGACTTGCAGTCGGCGGCCGCCAGGTTACTTAATGCGAACGTTTATACTGAAAGATTGTACTGACCGTACGCGGTTTACGACAGCATAGAAGTGGAATAGTCGATCTCCGTTGACCTTGTGACAAACATCGATCCCATATGTGATCCCAAGAAGTTCAAACGACGGACTAGGGCATTCATGTCACTCGCAAGTATCACAGTGCCAATGGTTCTTGTCTGACTAATTGGCATGGTTAATTCTCAATAAAGAGGATCCTCCTCAGCGTCAGAACTGTAGTTCATTGGGGCATATGCCGATTCCATAGACGGTAGTTTTTATGTCGAGATGATCTGAGCTCGATTGAGCTGGATTACCGGACGGCGCAAAGACGAGTGTTCACCGGGATCCAATCCAGCTTTCGCATGCAGCTTTTGGGCTGGTGCAACTCCCACGTAAATATAATTCACGAGTCATCGCTTCTCGATCACCAGACACACACAGGGAGAAATGTGAAAGAGCTCATTCCGTCCTTGGCACTTTGAGATGCATAACCACGCTTGGGTCTTGTAATTGTGTTTCGGAGACACAACGCACCTCAATTTCAAGGGAGCATAAGGTTTCAGCAAGGATTGCATGCTTGCCAGTTTGACACAGCGTACGGACGCTGAAAGCTCCAATGTAGAAAGGATCTCGTAAATGTAGCAAAGTGTTAATTTTTTGTTGTTGGTAATATGCAACAGGGAGCATAAGCCCGTCAGAAACGTTGACCCAGCAACGTTTATTTGTGTGGTAGGAAAGGGTTGGGGAGAGACACAGAAGCGTGTGGGTAAATGATACCCCCAGGGTCGCCCAGGCCGAGTAAGGCGGTTCGTTTGAAGTGCCCTCTGTGGAACTTTAACTCTGACCCGCGAGGCAATGGACAATAAGGTTTACTTCGTGGACCATGCTCGAAGCCTAATCCACAGGCGCAAGGAATATTACTGTCTTACTCCTGGTGAAGCTGCGCGCAGCAAATGGCATTTGAACAGCACCGGCATCTTTTGTTGCAAACGTGTTCCCGATAGGATAAGAAAGGGAACCAAGCTGCATACTAACCATGAGAGCAACGGGTGCATATGGACTGGAAATTGAGGGATTCTCAATGCACCCAAAACGCCTAGGTGACGATTCAGTGCAGCATGCGTTCTTTATCAGCCCAGACATAGAGCAGACAATATTGGGGGCAGATTGTCCCAGGAGCACAGATTCCGTGTTTGATTTAACGTAGGGGAAACCGGCGACAAGGTATTGGCGCAGTCAAGCTTGAAAGTTATCAAGCACTGCCGTGAGTGAGCTGCTTGTCCGAAAGCCTTTGTATTGTAACGTGTCGTTAGCACGGTCCGTGGTCGAGGAGTATTCTGAGCTGTTCACTGGCGATGAAGATCCGTTTGGCTTCTGCCCGTGGATTGAACACGAAGTTCTCCTGTTGTCAGAACGTCTTCAATCTCACGACCCCCTTCCGTTGCCGCTCCATCTACGGGAGGATGTCCATAAACAGACTGAAGAGACGTTGAATAATGGCATGGTAATTGGCTGTCCTTGAAAATCCTCTCTCCGTTTTCATTGTTCCTTGGGATAGATATCTTAGTCCTAATAGAGGTAGCCGTTCGGATGGATGCCATAATTCATAGGCTGACATGGTACCAGCCATTTCGCCGAGTGCATGTTTCTGCTGCTCAAGAATGACAGAGACATGTGAACTAAAAGCTGTTTGGAATGTCTGTGATGATGAAAGTCATTTGGAGGAAAGGGAATAAAATGCTGAAGACACTATGTTCG